TTTCACGAGTTCAAACTGCATTCTAAATAAATAAATTCAGGTAATCAAAGTATGTTAACAGGACATGAACCAACTGAACCTATCAAAGCTACAGTTGAAAAGTGTATATGCCACCTTTTGCAAAGAGAACAATTCATAATTTTGAGTTTTCTGATTTTCATTTTCATGTTTTACCAAAATGAAGATAAGATGAATTTTTAAAACTATCGAAATACAGAAAGCCAACATGGAGTGTACAGTATACCAGTTTCCGGATTTATCTGCAGCTGAATAGGAAGAGGAATTCAATCCATTCTCTATTCTTGAGAACCAAATGAATCAGTCAGCAACAACGTAGGACCAGGCACATAAATGCATCGGTCCAAGTTGCCATACCTCGTTAGCACAACAAGATGAACACCGGATTCATAGAAGTAATTAATTTAGTGGTGGTAGTTTATAGAGAAAGGTCGTATATAAGGATATAGTATAGGAAGGGAAAAAGTTATGAAGCAATTTTAATCTCAAAGTTTAAGGGAAGATAAAGAGTGAATACACCTGCACCATTGTGATTGATTCTCAGTCATGTCACACAGAGTCTCAAAACATTGGTTACGATAGTCACGCGGACCCCAACCAGGTAGTCTGCATCTGCCAACACGGCTTAGACTAGAAGTTAGTGACTTCAAGCACTGATGCCACGTTTTGGTTTGGCCGCCCCTAACTCTCTTCCAACCATTCCCTACACTAGTCAGCATAGCGCGTCGTGGTAATCGGTGTTCAGGCATACGTAACACGTGGACTGACCATCTCAGTCGATGAAAATTCATCACCTCATCAATTGATTTACCATCGTTCCCTAATACCCTGCGTCTAACCTCACTATTACTTACCCGGTGATTTCAGCAGATGCGAGCAATATTTCTAAGGCATCTGTGGTCAAATACTAGTAACCTACGAGTATCTTCTACTCTTAGCGGCCATGTTTCACAGCCGTAAAGTAGAACAGAACAAACTGCTGCGCGGTATACTCGTCCCTTAATTGATAGACGGATATCTCGTCTTCGCCATAGGTGACGTAAGTTAGCAAAAGCCAAACGAGCTTTTTGAATCCGTGCTGAGATTTCGTCAGACACCAACCCATTAGGACTGATCAGACTTCCAAGATAAGTGAAGTTGTCGACGCGTTCGACTACTTCACTCCCTATCCTTAGTTTGGGTGTTGACACAGGCCAGTCCTGGAGTAACTATTTACATTTGGATGGGGAGAAACGCATCCCAAACATCCTGGCATTATTACTCAGTTCCAACAGAAGACTCTGCATTTTGTCTCTGATTTTGGCCCCTTCTTATATATTGGGACAATCAGAGATTGTGACCAGTCAGATGGGATTACGTCCGTCTCCCATATTTTAGCCAGAATATTAGTCAACCTAATCGCTAAAATTGGACCACCATATTTAAAGACCTCTGGAGCCAATCCATCTGGACCAGCTGCTCTTCCTCGTTTCAGATTACTTATAGCCTTTTGAACTTTAAGTAGGGTCGGGGGGCCTACTTCAATGTTCCATTCAGGTTTTCTGGGAATAGTGGGTAGTTGTGCAGTAGCTGAAGGACAGCTAAACTGCTCCTTAAAGTGTTCCGCCCATCGTTCTAAACGTTTGGGTAGAGAGCAGATAAGGGTTCCATCTTTTTCCGAGATCGTCTCACTTACACTTGACTTCTTAATTCCGGTTTCTTTTATTAGTCTAAATAGTTGCCTGGTGTTGCCTACAGCCGCTGCCCTTTCCATCTCTTTTGCTTTCGTTGCCCAACACTGCTCACGATCGTTCCTTAGACTTTTAGTTAACGTACATCTAATTTGTTTACGCTCTTCGTCATGTTCAGAGCCTGATGGGATGAGTTTACGCGAATCCATCAGTGAAATAGACTTAGAAGAAATCCACTAGTTTTTTGGAGCCCTATGGTTTAAATAACTAATAGATGTTACTGCTGTTTCCACAGCTGTTCATGTGTCTTTCCAAGCAGCATCTGAGTCAGTTTCGTTTACAGAACTGCCTAGATGTGAACTCAGTTGTTTCTGGAATTCGCACTTGGCTTTCTCGTCCTCCAGTTCAATCCTAATGGGTCCTCTTAGTGTACTTTTCCTGCGTCCATTGAGGCGCAGACAAATGCGCGCTCGTATTAAAGCGTGATCAGAGTCTAAACAAGTATTCCAATACGAGCGACAATCTTCTATTGAGCCTCTCCAACGATGACTGATGACAATATGGTCTATTTGAGTCCATCGTTGGTTTGGTGCAGGTGGTCGCCATGTTAGACGATGTCTCTCCTTATGCTTAAAATTAGTGCTTGCCAAAAATAAACGATTGTCTGAGCATAGTTGCAACAGACGATCACCATTATCGGTTCGTTGAGCCGGAATACTAAAACACCCACCTAAATGTCTTTCTGTTTGATTTAAGCTGCCTACCTGGGCATTAAAGTCACCCGCTACGACTACTATGTCTGAGCGCTTAGCTTTCTGAAGAAGCTCAGAGAGTTTTCTGTAAAAGTCATCTTTCACTTCATCATGGCTGCAGTCAGTGGGAGCGTAGGCAGAAACGACGAAAAGGCAACGACGTGAGTCCCTATCCTTCCGAGTTCTTACGGAGCCATTTAGCCGGACAGCACAGGCGACTGTTAACGGGGATCCATTCTAATAGTGCCTGTTCTGCCCTTGTACTTAGTGCTATGCCTACACCTGCAAGTCCATGAGAACTAGCCAACATGTCGCCAGATACACGGAGGGTGTATTTCGTTGGCTCTCCATTTTGGCGAGGTAAGGTCAAGTGAATGACCACACTAGGATCCTGTATGTGTGTTTCGGAGACACAGCATACATCATTGGTACGAGATTCTAGGGTTTTAGCTAAGGAGGTCTGTTGACCGATTTGACTTAAAGTACTTACGTTGAAGGCTCCAATGTGTAGTTTGGAGCGAGGTTTTAGTAGACCTGGGACAGCGTTTCGCGCACTAGAATCGTTGGACATGGTGACACTTGAGGAGGAAACCGGAACAGGAAGTTTAGTGTTGATAGTCAAGGTAGAAGGAATAGTAGGAATTGAAGAAGGAGATTGATTATGAATACAGTGGTCTTGAGTGCTGTTAGAGGTATGAGGGCAGTTTTTACTTCTCGGTTACCCACACCGTGGAAGGGTTCTTCTAGGGGTACCTCGAAGAACAATTGTTCCAGCCAGTATAGCTCGATTGCTTCATCACGATAGGCAAGCCCGACCACCACGTCAAGGTAGCAGCAACGGTATACGATAGACTGAATAAAATCTGACAAACATTTTTGGAAAATGGTTTGATTCCCAGGTTTATTGATACTAATCTGAAACCGAAAAGTCAAGCTAAAAGAACTTTCGCAGTTCCAAAGGAAGTTTTATTTCTGAAGAATGAGTTCAGAAGAGATACGTTTGGGGAGATATTAAAGAACAGATAATCTAGATTTCTGAAAAAGACATTAATTTCAGCGCAGCTCCAAATTATTTTCTGCTGCAAAAATCATATTTGTGGAAGTATCGACGGCAGACTGACGCTTTGGGACAACTCAATGTGTATTTATTATATTACTTGCTTTTGTGGAGCAGGTTATATTGACTATGCAAACGTGGACTTGGTAAAAAAATATATATCCGAGGAATACCCTTCATGGCTATCTAAAACAAAATTCCAGCCAATCAACAACTCAATCCTTAAATAGATGGCCGACTCTACTACTACAATAACTGTCGCTTAAGATCATCTAAACAGTTAGAAAAACTGGCTCGGAGAAGATTTGGATGGAGAATTTGTGCACAGCTGAAGCTATAACAACTCACTATTTCGAACTAAAGCTCTTTGTATAAAAGGGTCATAATCTTAGCACTGTTCGTAATTTAACAAATCGTAAATTTAAACTATTAACTCATCCTTCAACTTCATAAAAATAGATAGTTGACTTTCATATTACAAAAATTATTATATCTTATTACCTTGGACACAATTAAATAACCTCGTTAAATGATGAGACATCACCTCATTCTTTATTGAGTTTTACGCTAGATACTTGAAAAAACGCTTGCCTGGCTTTGAACACTTCATATAGTGATGTAACACTTTTCTATTTTCTTACAAACTATTACATGACATACAACGTAACTATAAATACGATTGCATAGCTCAAGAAGATGATATCGTCGTGAAAAAGATTCTTTTCATTGAAACGTTTCCATTCTTTTTATTCAATCAACAGCGTTTTCTTTAATTGTTTTAAAATACACATCACTTTCTTTACAACTTGACACTATATGTTGATTATTCAGTTATTCAATGCATTACCTCTTTTTCAGTATAGCGTTGTGGAGTTTAACCATTTCGATTAAGATCACAAACCGATTACTTATGTATATTATAAATATTCTGGAACAGAACCTTGCATTATTATTCCCACTATTATTATTATTATCAGGGGCGGACAAACCAAAATGTGGCATCAGTCCTTGAAGTCACTAACTTCTAGTCTGAGCCATGTTGGTAGATGCAGACTACTTGGTTGGGGTCCGCGTGACTATCGTAACCAATGGTTGGGAGATACTCTGAGTGACATGGCTCAGAATCGATCACAATGGCGTAGGTGTATACACTCTTTATCTTCCCTTAAACCTTGAGATTAAAATTGCTTAATATCTGTCTTCCTTCCTATACTATATCCTTATATACAACCTTTCTATTATATATTAACACCACTAAATTAACGACTTTTATGAATCCGGTGTTCATCCTGTTGTATTAATGAGGTATAGCAACTTGGACCGATGCATATATGTGCCTGGTTCTACATTGTAGCTAACTGACTGACTGATTATCAGTATCAGTATTAGTATTATTACTAACATTATATAATAAAATAGTTTTTTTCGATTTTTCGAAAAAAAATAGACTAGTGAAAACTGAGAAATAAAATCGATAAAAAAGACAAACAAAATCTTACTTACTACTTAGTCTTATATCCAGCAAGTATACATATGTTTGTTAATACAATCATGGCAATTTCTTGAAGATATGGATCACCATAGCCAGTTGGTATTATTTGTATTAAACATTTAAGAAATTCTTGACTTCTAGCAAGTTGATACCAATAAACTGTAATTTTACAAAAAAAAACAATAATATGCTTGATACTAATGAGTGTTGACAAGATTTTGGAATTCAAAGTTTCCATATTATGGACTAGTTTTGTTTAGACAATCATTAAACACCCCAAAGTACTAGACAGGTGTTTTGTTTTATTATGAGACATTTCAAGAATATACATCCACATCCCCATCTGGGGTCGAAGCTAGGACCTTCAGACCTCACAGTAAGAGGTTAATTTTAAGATAAACGAGTTAGATCCAAATGGTTCCCATTTTAATTTCGATTCCTTACCTCATCGCGAATGTGCAATCATGAAGAATCTCATTCTAAGACAGGATGGGTATCGAGTGCATCTTGGATTTCCATAGTTGACTATACCGAATCAGTCTGTGATAGATGATTTTAGCAATAATATAATGGTTTGGTTTTATTTAGAAATGATTAGTTTGAAAGTTTGTCTCTATTATTTGAAAAATAATTTAGAATGTAAAGGATATCGGACAATAACATAACATGGCATTAAAAAGTTTACAAACCCTACCACACCCACTTCAATCTGAGCAACTGGGTAGAATCATTACACTTCACACTTAGAATATGGCCTATACTTAAGTATTTGCTGTATGAATTAACTGAAACTTAATCCGAAAAAGCAAATGAACATCAGATGATAAAACTAGGATTACAGAAGTAAAAAACAAACCTAATCAACAAATTGTTCTTTTATCCTTTGCTTTCCCGGACAAGGGGATTAACACATAATTTATATTTTTCCCAAATACTTTATTTTTATAGTTTATTGTTTATTTATTTGAATACAAAAACATTGGTACAGGTAAGAACCAAATACGTAAGCGCCATTCGATTTGTGTGAGGGCTGAAATACTGGGCCTAAACCAAAAAAGCGATTTTCTTAGGAGGCCACTATCCAAGTCTTTGATTCAGAGGTCTAATCCACAAAGCAGCGAAGAGACGTAAGGACACGCAGTCCCATGGTAATTGATTTATTTGTATTCGCAGAATTGATTAGTTTAATTGTAAAGCTTTCTTTGTCTATATGAACAACATCATTAGCTCTCATTTCACGCATAACTAAACTACTGAATTATTTTAATCTAGTTAACTCTGACAATGATGTTTCGCAAAAAGTTGTCTTCGAAGGTTTTACTAGTATCATTTATTTTTTTTGCCTGGTGACTCGCTTGTTCGATTGAAGGTCCACATTTTCTGTATGGCTTGGTAAGTAGGAAATGATTAGTGTATATCATTTCCTGCGTTCAAATAAATAAAATAAATAGTAATTAGTGTCTATTGGTTAGTTTAGTAGGTACGTGTTTTTTTATCAAACATCTCTTATAACTGTAAAAATGCTTATCCACTTCACACTGATAACATTTTTCATATATATTTAAACACATAAGTATTGGTAAAAAGAAGCACCAGATATATATGCGCCTCACAAATATCATTCGATTTGTGTGAGGGTTGTGATACTGTCCAGGTGCCCAAACTGAAACAGGTGGTTTTCTTAGGGGCCACACCCGGAGCCTTTGACCTACAGATCTGATCCACAAATCAGTTGAGCATCGTGAGGAGATGCAGTCCCATGGTAACCAGTGACCAACGATTGATTTATACGCCATTTGTTCCCTCAAAATACTGGTGTCCATGTGCACCATTGGTCTGGAATCAGGGTTTTACAACTCCCCTAGGTGAACTATCCGTGTCTACCAATCCGGTTAGAGCGCCGGAGATTCGTTCATCACCCTTTCAATTTCGCAAACAACAGTAATGCCACGAGAAGGCAGTGAGTAGGACTTCCGTGGCAGAGGCTATATACGCGTGGCCATATGAGAGCATTTGAAGAGGGAGAACGGACTCTCCCCAACTCTCGGCCGTATATATACTAAAATGTAGTAAAATCTTAAAATTAATCATTTCTTCAAAAAACATGAAGAATAAACAATACGAAGAATTGTTAAGAGTAAACTAACTTAGAATTCAAAATGAAACAAGTATTTACCTCTGCATTTGATACCAGAAAGTAATTGATATTTACTTTGATCCGTTATCAACAAGCATTGATTGATACATTTCAAGATATCAGTATTTATTGTAATATGTTTACTACAATCATAATCATTCTTATTCATATACTGTTTATAATCCATTGAAAATGTGATTGATTCAAAATTATGAAATTGAGAATATAGTAGGGATGAATCAAATGATAAATCCTCTATGAAATTGATATTATCTTGGTATGATTTATTGTGTATTACATTTTTTAGTTTAATTCTGTAAATATATTCAGAGAATGAAACACGATCATATAGATTAGGCATTGTTGTTCAAGAAAACATCTATCCAGTATAAGGTTATCTGAAAACAAAAATGATTTCTATTACGAATTGATATCAACTAGGGAAGCATTGAAAAGCATGAGCCGTCCAGTGCTTTCAGGTTTTCCTTGGTGGTCTAGCTTCAATTGACTCATGCATTCAACTATAAAATTACTGAAAACTCCACAAAATCTCTTCTGATAATAATATACATTTGTACCAATTGATAGTGTATACTCTCTAATATGATATCGTTTAAGCCAATAAATTTCCATGAAAACTCAATCTAATGGTTATTAATGATTAATTACCTTATTCAAGATAAACTAAAAACATCGGATAGAAAGGAAGAAAATTTGCCTTGAACCTAATCTAGCTAATGAATACATGATTAGATATCGGTGTTCGCTATCATTTACTTTTAAGTAAGGTTTCTAGAAAAATTTGTATAATTTGGCGATTTTATTCACAAACTAACAGTTTACCTGATAAGCCATTTAGAATTAAATGAGCTCTTTACATATAAGAACTTTCGTCTAAATTAGAGCGAGTAGTTTCACAGTATTTGGGCACCGAATTGATGTAAGACACATTAAATAGGAATAATATATATTTGTAAAATCTCAGCGAATGAATTTGAAGTCAATCCAACGTTTCGCATGACAATCTGGTCCAAGCTTTTTGAAAGAAAAACCTTGGATTTACTTCAAATTCATTCGCTGAAATTTTACAAATACATATTATTCCTATTTAATAAACTGTTTACATGTTTGTTTCATTTTCATTAAATTATAATAATATTTAAGGTAAATGAATGTGATTGTAATTCATTCTTAATTGCACCAATCGATTCTTTTTGAGAAGACTTAACTCAACTCTACAGTCCATTTGTTACACCAGTAATAATTGGATGTGTGATCAGAACATTCATAAATAAAGTTTACATATTACAAAAAGAAACCGATTAATTGCATTAACCAACTACAATTAGCAGCTACTGATATAGAAAATGAATAAATCCAGTTGAATGATATTTTAGTGTATGAACAAACAAGTTGTTGATCTAAACACTAAGAATGTCCGGCGCCTTAACTGGGTTGGTGGATACGGAAAGTCCACCTAAGGGAGTTGGAAAACCCTGATTCCAAACCAATGGTGCACATGGACACCAGTATTTTGAGGGAACAAATGGCGAATGAACCAATTGTTGGTCACTGGCTATCATGGGATTGCATCTCCTCACAATGCTCCACTGCCTTGTGGATCAGACCTTTAGGTCAAAGACTCCGGGTGTAGCCCCCTAAGAAAACCATCTGTTTCAGTTTGGGCACCTGGACAGTATCATAGCCCTCACACAAATCAAATAAGATTTGTAAGGCGCCTATATATCTGATGCTTCCCTGTACCAATATTTATGTGTTTAAATAAATGAACTGATATAGAAACGGAATAAATCCAGTTGAATGATATTCTAATGTATGAACAAACAGGTTGTTGATCTAAACATCAAAAAGTATGACAAACAATTATAAGAACATTTCAGTAGTATAAAGTAAACTTTTAAAAAGAAATGATACTAATTCGTACATTTCAGTAGTAGTTTTATTATTTAGCATTCCAAGCCAAAAAAAGGAAGTAATAGTAAATCAATTTATGCTAGGAGAAAATATTCATTCAAGAGCTAAATCAAATTAGGACGAACACATTACCTAAAACATAAGAGAATCATCTAAATATATATCCACCTGTTCTTAGAAAATTTGGTAGTTATCTGTACAGTAATGATGAAAACCATAAACCTTAAAAGCCGATGAAGATCAACAACTGGTTAAGTAGAATTCAAATGGCTTTTCTATTATCAAACATTAAGGTCATACTGTTGATAGAGTTTCCGAGAAGAAAGAGTGAAACATTATTAAAAGATCACTTTATTTTATAACTTAATATATGTGAGAAAAATAGTACTACTTTAATGCACAGACCAAAGAGATAAATCAAATCCATAAGCAAACTTTAGTTGTCAAAGGAACAAAGACTTGGGTCTAATCACCGTTCCAGTAAATTATGTTGATAAATACCACTAAATTGATAACACGTTATTAATTGGACTGATTGATTGAATGAATACGATTAAACATATGAAATTAAGATAAATGATTTCTCATCAAAGCTACTTAGTTACTGAACATTATTGACACTAAACAGTTTGACAGGCGGAAAAACAACAATAAACATTTGACTGTGTCTTAGGGAATTTTTTGTGCTTTCTTAAACTTCTTAACAAATGGTAGTTTAGACGTGTAAAAAATCTCAGTAACTCTTTTCCACTGACTGCTCACATTACGATTTAGTTCTGCATTTTTGTTATGTTCCAAGGTCAAAGTTATTGCTTCATAAACAGAGTTGATTTATTACAATTTAGGTTTAAGTTTTTTGGTGACTTGAACTCTTGCCCCCTCATTACCAGAGAGCTTGTTGTTAAAGTGTTGTACGTTAGACATCCGATATATTTGGTTCGCGTAAATCCCTTTTCGTATAAGGATTTTTCTTTAATAATTCACATTCGGAATATCTAAAAACACAAAACCAGGTGAAAAACCTACGACAATGAATTCATTAACTCAGAGCAGCTATATTCCACTGCAATTCTTAGTTAACTACTTTATCTTATTTCTGTTTTAAAGAAAGCAATCTATATAAGATCCCAAACTATGACAAAACAACTATCTTATGTTCCCATCAAAACTTGATACGTTTCTATAAGACAATTTAATTTACGAAGTTGAGCAACCATTCATCAATATCTTCAGTGAGTTGATATCTCAGGATTTCAACTATATAAAATTACTAAAATCTCCACAAAATCCCCTTCTAATAATGATCATATGCTTACTAGTGACTGGCTCTATGAGGTATTTCCTGGAATTCTAGTGAGAAGCACTAACCAGTGGAGTTCAATCAGGTCTGTTGTGAGATATCAACTCACTGAGGACATTGGTGAATGGTTGCTCAACTTCGTGGATTGGTTGAAGTTAGACATTAACACCGTTGTAGGCCGGATGGCTAAGTGGTCTAGTGGTTAAGCGCTCGCACGCGAGACTGATAGGTCCTGGGTTCAAATCTCGCGAGGTAGAATCGTGGGTGCGCACTGTTGAGAAGTCCCACAATAGGACTAAACGATCGTCTAGTGCTCCCAGGTTTTCTATGGTGGCCTAGCTTCAATTGATTCATGATTTCAACTATATAAAATTACTAAGATCTCCACAAAACTCCTTTCTAACAACATAATTTAGTTCGTATACAAAAATAAGCTCACTTCTTACAAGATTGGTAAACGTTACAAAGATTTTAAATTCAAATCCCTATATAATATAAAATATACGTTCAACAAACATAAGTGGCTATATATAGACAGAAACTAATTTTATATGCATAGATGAATAAACAATATCACAGGACATGATAACTATGGTAATTTAGATACTATAAAATAAATTTTAAAAGTTCCTTTGACTACAATCTAACATTATTTTCCATTACATCCTAGTAAAGTCTGATAGTGACTAGCAATGCAATCCAGGATACATCTTTCATCCTAATGTTGATGTGGATACAAGTAATCGAAGCAAGTACATTTTGCTTTAAATGCCAATGTATTATCAACGGAACTATTGAATCTAGTAAGCCAATAGGTTGAGCAATAGCTATGAATATAATTAGTGATGGTTTGTATTTTCGCGTTGTTGATATTAAGGATTTCAATTAATTGGTCAGTATCACCACTAGGATGTAGGTATATCGATCTGGCAAGTCACAGATAGGACGAAATGTGAGTTCTAGATTTCACTGCTGATCACCGTCCAAGTTTATAAAGAATTTATGATAAATTGACACTACGCTCGTAATTTGCTCATGGTCCATGTATATCATAAAGGCTGATTAAATCTAGTCATTAACATCAACAACGAAAGATAGAGAGACCAACAAATAATTTTTCATTACAAGTAGAAAATTGTAGAAAAGTGAATAGAAGATTCAGTATACTCAAAATACCAAGTATTTATGATTCTTTTAGGCATCGAACTCCTATACACATTTGATTTTATCTAAATTATCAGATCAGAATAATATCTAAGGCTTTGAAAAGCAACTTACAATGAGCATTGGATCTAGGTTTCTAGTGTTATCTTCAAGATTTAAATCACGAAGTGATTTTAGCCAGGAATACAAATACTAACTGCAGTTAGTAATGGTGACTACCTAATTCCATTTTATAGGCTGAATGGTATTATACTCACTATATAATATGAAGATCATGTGAGATATTGATAATTTTGAGTTGATATATAGCCCCAAAATGCCCTGGTATGGTCGAGGGTGTGGAGAGACCGCTCTCCCACTACAAATGTTCTCATACGGATACGCATATATAGACACTACCAAGGTCCTACTCACTCCCTTCTCAAAGCACAGGTCTTTTTTACGGAATTTAGAGGAAAAAAGTCAAATGCCTAGTGCTTGAACCAGGTTGGTGGGTACGGAACACTCACCAAGGGAAGTTGAAAAACCTGGATTCCAAACCAATGCTGCACATAGTCTACAGGATCCTGAGGGACCGAATGGAGTATGAACCTATTCTTCGCCACGACCTCCTTCAATGAGATCGCATTGCCTAACGTTGCTCCATTTCCTTGTGGAGTTAGGCTTCAAATCAAAGACTTGGGGAGTGGACTCCCAAAAACACCACCTGTTTCAGTTTGGGCACCTGGGGAGAATCCTCGCCCAAATACAAATTGAATGATAACAGCTTTAAGTGACACATATATTTTAGAGCTCCTTCGTATCACTGTTTCAACAAATAACAAATAAATCATATGAAGCAGTTATCCAGTGCTTGATAGTTAACCATCATCAATAGATAGACAATAAAAGAACAACTATTGAATATCATTAGTAGTACATTAGAAAACCAGCAACATTGTAGGATTATACGGTTTTTCACA